CTCGGCTAGAACGTTAGAATCTCGCTTCATTGATGTATGCCACGTCTCCAAAACGCGCATACAGGATCTGAGTAGCATCATTCATTTGACCTCACCATGTCAAAATAAGTAAGCAGCTCAATTTACTCTCCATGTATCTGGAAGCTCTGCTGATGCTTCCCGTGGCCTGGTTGGTGTAGGTATAGTATTAAATTGTCGGGGAGACAGTCGCTTATACGCTGTCCGACTAAACGGGATGGTATGAACTCGTGACGATGGGGAAAGTCGCCGTCGCCTCCTCGTCGTATTTGCTTACGTTCCCACTGACTGTTCTTCAGACGAGATGAAAGATGAGTTTTATAGATAGCCTTCCCACCTCCTCTAAAACTTCAAGCGCTCGGATATAGTAATAATGGTTGGTGACTTCAATGCTTAAGTAGGTAGACTAGCTGAAAAAGCAAGACACCTAGGTGGACCTTATGGAGTCGACGCTTATAAAGTAAAAGGATGGGACTATTATTCATTCTAACTCCAAGAAATTAGGATGATGGGCAGATCGCTTAAGGGATCAGATTAATTGGCCTTCAGTCACACGTCGGCTGACCACGATCTCCAGTCAAACTCAATGGCAAATTCATGTAAGTCCTCCGACTCATTATGAAGTTGAGAAAGCCATGGGAAATCTGAAGCGAGGGAGAGTGGAGGTTCCTGATAGCCTAACTCCTGAGATTTTTAAGGATGGTGGTTTAGGTTTACTAGTCACATTGAGATCCAACGTAGAATCTAGCTACTGGGTATAATCCCATCTGACTGGTCTCAATCACTAACTGTCGCAATTTATAAGAAAGGACAACAGTCCTCTTGTGACAATCACAGAAGAATCAGTATGACTAATATAGTGTATAAATTGTTAGTTTCGATAATAATTAGGAGCTTCGCTAGAGCTCGTGAAGTGCAGACTAGGGACAACATAGCTGGTTTTCGACCTGGACCTGCATGAATGGACCAAATATCCTCCCTTCGTCAGGTCCTGGAATATAGACATGCATTTCAACGTCCTACCAGGGTTGTCTATCTAGACCTTAGAGCGGCATTCGACTGTCACTCATGAGATTCTATGGCAGTGTCTGTCATTAAAAGGTGTACCACAGAAGTACATTCACCTTACAAAATCTCTCTACTCGAACACTACTAGTCGAGTCACAGCCTATGTTGAACTGTCATCGGAATTCAGTACTTCAATTGCTATCCATCAGGACTGTCCACTTTCTCCATTCTTGTTTAACTTTGTCACAGACACTCTCTTAGAGATAACATTATTTTCGTCTGAGTTTTCAGCAGTGAACCTTCAACCAGGAGACTCGCTTGTTGACTTAGAATACGCCGATGACAGTTCTACTTGGCGTCGCCTGATGCACTTATTTCGGGAGTCTTATCAGTGCTGATGGCCTGGTGACTGACAAAATCTCAGCACGGATACAGAAAGGTCGATTGGCTTTTGCCAACTTGCATCACTTATGACCTACGTCAGATATCCGTTTGCTGACTAAAGGAGTGTACTGCGCAGCAGTTCGCTCCATCCTACTACATTGATGCGAAACATGGCCGGTGAGAGCAGAGGACATCCGTAGGTTATTAGTATTCGATTGTAGATGTTTTAGAAGCACAGCGCATGTATTCTGGGACAGTACTAGGTAAAGATGGCAGATCAATGGATGAAGTAGTGAAATTCCATCAGTTGATATGGTTGGGACATGTTTTACGTATGCCTAAGTAACAGCTGCCTCTTCGAGCTACGTTTTGTGGTGAAGGAGTAGGTTGGAAGACTGCTAGGAGAGGCCAAACCAAAACAAGGCGTGAATCCATGAAGTCACTTACAAGTGGATTGAGTCATGTTGATAGGTGTCGACTACCACGTTGGGTTCCACGAGACAATAGTAACGGATGGTTAGACAATATATGACATGGCTCAAAATCGTTTGCAGTGGCTCTGGTGCATCGATTCTTTGTGTTCTCTCAAAGCGCAATCTTTTGAATTCTTTACATCTATCTTTCGCTTTCTAAACTCAATTCACTGAATTATTCTTGAATAATTCTTCGAGCTTAATCTCTATTTCCGCAAATACTTCTACCACATCTACCACTAGGGGATTTGAACTGACAAGTGCCCTTCTTTGCTAATGCGGTATGATAACCTGAACTAATGTACGTACGAATGAAGTTCTACGTTGTAATTGACTGAACCGACAGCAACATTTCGGGAATACAGATAATATAACGCTGACATTTTGACTAGCTCTTTTAATTTCAACAACTTTCTTGTTAAAAACCGAACTATAATTTAGTCTTAAATATCGCGCAGTATACTTGTCTTTTGATGGGTACCAGTAATAAGAATTCATAGGAAACCAGATTGCTTTTTATCATCGCCAGACTTATCTGGGCAACAAATTAATTACACAATAATAACTTTGAATGTTTTCCCATTGATTGTTTTTGTTTTTCTGTCAAGCATTTGTTTGGAGATAGTCAACAGAAGTCTCTTGTTACATTTATACGCTAAAACCGTTCGTTAAAAAAAAATCAAATTGTCAATTTTGTAAGCTGAGTAAATTTAAAGTTTTGATATGATCGAAAACATTCAGTTTTCTAGATAATTAGTAGAGTATATCATATAACGTTATATTAAGTATCCTATCCTATATTATAAGGATTAAAAAAAGTATGATTACAAGATGTACTAATTTATTTCAATTAGCTAACGTATTGATTATAAGGATAAAGGGAATGATACAGTTTCACCACCAAGTATTTCCTCCCCATCTTTCTCGATAGGTCAATTCACCACCATAGAATTGTTGATTTCGGTGTTTCTATAAAGAAAAAAGAATCAAATAACCATATGACATTTAATTAAATCCAAACTGTTCAGAAAGCATACTTATTCAGAAGTTCTTTATCGTATTATTAACTGACTAACTAGTTAAAAAGAACTTATGTACGTAATTACGAAGTTCTACGTTGCAACTGACGAATTTATCAAATGTGTATATAAGCTAGCTGAGTACGGTAGGCTTTATTTGATTGAAGTCTACTGCAGATAGGAAAATAGATTCGCTCTTTCGCATCATATGAATCTTGAGTTTCAACGTTATTCGATAAATGTTTTCATTTTTAGTCAGTACTTTTAGATTGTATAATGTAAACTTGACTTTTCACCACAACTGATGCTACAATAATTGACACTTCCTTCTTCTGCTTATGTAGAGCAGGATAACTTAGTCAGATGTGTGTTTTTGTCAAGTCTCATTTTGTTTAAGACCAACTGAGTGATTGTCTGATAAGCCATGATAATTTAGTGGAATATTTTACTGATTTACTTATTTCACCTATGCATTTAACCAGGCTGTTAGAAGTTCCTTCTGTAGAAGTCTATTTCATGAATATGGAAAAGTAAATCGTATGAAAATTCACTCAAACCCTTCATGTACTTCATGTATGATTTAAAGATTAACTGTTTGAATTCGTTCCAGTTCAATTTTTGAAACATTTTCACTAAAATACTTGGTCGATTCTTACCTATTGTTACTGAAAAAAAGATGCAGAAGTGCACTGTTCTCTTCTATTGTTCAGATGATTGGTTAGAATCACAATATTGTATTTTGGTCATAAGATTTTAGAACTTATAAGAGTATTTGGTTAAAGAATAAAAATTACTTAACTTTGAAGCTAATGCGACAAATGATCTCTTGTTACTAGTAATCTTCAATGAAGTTCCATGTTGTTCGTTAGTTTATGATTAAATTCAGTTTATCTAAGTTAAGTTTTCACTATTCTATCTCAATCTCTATTCTCATCTGGAATCCTGCAAAGTATTATTAGATTCTCATACAAAAATGACATAAATATACAAGCTTTATGAAGATTTAATTGGATGGAATTACTTCCGGGAAAAAAGCTGTCACATTTTTTGAGACCGTTTCAGAATCTGGTTTTGAAAATATAAATCTTGGATACCTATATAGTTAGAAATCATATTTAATAATAGATAAATTAAGTAATTCATACCAACGGATTTAAATTTCATTTGTAATGGTTTGGATTATCACTTTGTTGATTTTCTTGACTGAAGTCTAATTAGTCTTGGTTGACATGAATGCATTCTGCGCGGACTGCTTTGAAATGGCCGTTACGAAAGAAGTTTGAATAAATAGATAGTGTGGCTAACAATGGAATACAAGACGTGCATTTCATGTTATCTGAGACTTGTCAGTTGGATTTATCAGATCTAATGTTCACATTTATACTCAAACTTAGTACCGCTCTCCTCAAACGCCAATGCTCTACTGGAGCAGCCATCAAAGGATGCAAATTTTTCAACTAAGATAATCGACAATGGGCTAATCCAGATTACTACAAACCAAATTAAAATTCATGTTTTCTGTACAGTTGGAGAATTACACTCATTAGCTAAGTCGGTAATGCATTGCCGTTTAAAACGAAAGGTACTAGGTTCGAGTCCAACTCTAGGATCCATGTACATCTAGTCGATGAGTCTCTAATGCGGTGAAATACGCACCATAGATTCTGTTACTAACCAAATTCCATTTATTCCGCACTAATGGATACTTTATAAGTAGCATTCTATTTGCCACTTTTAGATACCTTGATCACTTGCACCTCTAGCTACTATTCTTGAGGTCATAGTGTTACAGATTTCAGCTTTCCAGTCACTTTGCTCTGGTTGCTTGTGAAATCAGCGAAATTGTTAAGTTTGTTGGATTTAAATGAAAAGATTATTCCGTAAAATAAATGACATGGAAAATTAATAGTATTTTTGGCTTTTGAAAGTTATTAGATGACTGAATAATTCTATCATATAATTAACTTATATTTGAAAAAAAAATTCCTAGTACATGAAGCTTATGAATAATCAATAAACTATATATTTAACAAATTAACTTGTGCATGATATTTGCGGATTTGATTCTAACCTTGATTTTATATCTGTTTTTATTTAGCTATGGACTGTAATGGACTTAGCTAGTAAAGCTGGTGATCTTGAAGAAACACTACAATCCAATGTAAATTATGTAGAATACGTAGTTAGACATTTAGAAGATGCTCTTATTATTCGACATCGACGTAAACGAAGTGGTACGAATAACAGTTCCGTTTCAGTGGCACAAACATCTGTATCTAGCCCAGCTAGCACAAATGAACAATTAATAAATAAAGGTAATGCCTTTCTTAGATATTTCTCAAAAAAAAAAATAATTTATTTTCATTTTAGATAGTACCCGATATGCCATACTTCCACTAACAATAACGCATAGATCACGTATTCCTGGTCCACGACCTTGTTCACCACAATCAAGCAGTTATCTTAATGGATTATACTTGATTATTAAAGCACTTTATGTTTTCAATTCAACTGGCCAGTTATTTTTGTTAGCTAGGTAAAAAATCTTAAAAATGCTGGTCTTTATTATACTTTTATGAATACATTTTTTGTAATAATTCCAACTGATCTCTATTGGCTTGTATCCTTCCATATCATGATGCACTCGACGGAAAAGTCGATCATGAATGATAGGAAAAATCATTTTAATTTATGATAATAAGTGAATATGTCTGCGTGTAGATCAATTATTACAGTTTTGATAACATTTATTTTATGCAAAATTTACTGTAGGTTTAAATTCAATAAACTGTCAAATAGGTTGCACATAACATACAAGAAATAATACATTCGAGGTGATTTGTGATTTGTTCAAGATACTACAAAATAGTCGGTTAACCTTTTGAATATTTATTTCATTTCATAAAATTCAATAACTTTCACTGAAATGCAATAAAATTAACAAGTTTCAATAATGTTATCGGGTAAAACAACTGTTTAAGTTTGACAGATAAAATCAATCAGCCATATTCATCGTTCAATTAAAAGTAACAAATTTCTTCATATACAATAATTTCAGTGATTGAACTAAGATATTAGCCCTGAAGAAATACTCAGATTCTGCACGTAAAAAACTTGACAAACTTAGCCTAGATATTTTATTGGTCTGTGATCCATTTATTACTTCAAAGCAAAAGTAAAGGTTGTTAGTCAAGCTAAAGTCTATATATGTATAAGCCATAATGGACTGTCCCCAACCATCTCTTTTTCAGGTAAGATCTCTTGGGTAAATCACTTTTCTTGTCTTCAAGATTCAGTGAGTGTTTTGCTCTTCACTAACACTGCAACGTATTATTTCCTTGTGATACTTAATGTAGAATGATTTGTCAGATAAATACCATCCAGATTATAATAACGGCACTTCTACTGATATTTATGTCCATGACATACTGTTCGCAAACCTATGAAGTCATGAAACCTATCCCATATCCAACGGTTTTGATAATGATAAGTATTTGAAGTTTCATCCATCCTAAAAATGGTCAATAGTCAAACGTTAGCTCAAGGAAACTCATATGCCAAACGAACTAATCTGTTCAGTTCGGAATGTCAGCGTACTTACAAATAAAACTAAACATTATTACTACTATTATCGGTATTATTACTAATGACAATGTTCACTTCCAACAGGTTTTTAGGTCAGACAACCATATTTTTTGGACCTCAGTTGTTAACTGATCTCATAGCTGGTACACAGTGGTATCAAAGTGGAAATTTCCCTCGTGTATCATATTGTGATTTGGATATGCGAAAAATGGGAAGCAATTATCATAGATATACTCTACAATGCGTATTAAGTATCAATATGTTTAATGAAAAGATTTTCATTTTTCTTTGGTTCTGGTTCACTGGTTTAACTTTAATGAATATACATAGTTTCCTGCGTTGGTGTTGTCGGTAAGTATTCTGAAACCTAAACTATTTGTACACACACTTAGTAGATTTGCCATTTTTTTCTGTATTTATAGCACATTTCTTCCCGAAATACTTTTTTTTTACATCCATTTACTGATAGATTACGACTGTTCACCTGATAAGTTCATTTATTATGATGTCCAGTTATTTGGATTAGTCATTTTTAAGGTTTAAGTCTAGTTATAACCTCTTAAATTAGAGTTCGTAATTTGCGCACATCAAGTTACAAAACAGAATGTGTTTCCCTTCACTTCATTGGATATTCCATGTGGAGCATCGATTCTTTTATAACTTTAGTCACACCTCGTTGACCAGTGTGCGAAAGTACAACTTATATATATATATATATATATATATATATATATATATATATATATATATATATATATATAGCAGGGTTAGTAGTTATACAGTTGCTAACCCATTATACTTATTTACTTATTTACGCCTTTTACCCCCGTTAGTGCATAGGCCACCCATCAGTATTCTCCAGCCTACTCTGTCCTGGGTTTCCCTTTCCAGTTCCATCCATTTCTCGGCGTAATGTGTTCCTTGGTAGTTTTCCAAGTTTCTGCCCCATACAGTAGAACTATCTTGACATTTGCGCCGAAAATTCTGATTTTGATGTTTCTTGATAGTTGTTAAGAGTTCCAGATGTTGTTCGCTTGTAGAAATGCAGCCCTTGCTTTTCCGATCCACGCCTTCATATCTGAATCAGAACCACCCTACTCATCAATAATGCTGCCCAGATATGTAAAGGTTTTTACGTCCCCCAAGGCATCCCCATCAAGAGTGATTAGTTTAGCGCGTGTTGTGTTGTATCGGAGAATCTCGCTTTTCCCTTTATGTATGTTGATACCTGCTGCTGCTACACAGATCTTCTTCTCCTTCATTTGTTGTTGCGTGTGCGATAGAAGAGCCAGATCATCTGCGAAGCGCAGATCGTCCAGTTGCATTCTGGCTGTCCGCTGTATGCCATGTTTCCCTCCAGATGTTGACGCCTTGATAAACCAGTCGATCACCAGGAGAAAGAGAGACTAAAGAGCCTTACCTGAAACCGGTCTTCATCTCGAACGAGTCTGTGAGTTATCCTCCGTGCACGATTTCGCACTTAAATTCATCATAAGAATTCCGTGTGATGTTGACAATCTTCTCAGGCACACCGTAGTGTCAAAGACGCCTACATAGAGTTGTCATATCCATGCTATGGAATGCTTTCTCGTAGTCAATGAATTTGATATAGAGTGGTGAGCTCCATTCAATTGATTGTTCCACAACGATCCGTAATGTTGCGATTCGGTTGGTACACGATCGGTCCTTACGCAATCCTACCCGTTGATCTCGAAGTTGTGCGTCTACGAAGTCCTTCATTCTGTTTAACGACACTTTGTTAAGAATTTGCCTGGTATTGGGAGGAGAGTGATGCCTCTGTAGTTCTCACACTTGCTGAGATCTCCTTTCTTTGGTATTTTGATGAGGTATCTTTCTTTCCACTCTGTTGGTACTTGTTCTTCACCCCATATGTTGTTGGAATATTTTTCAGTTGCTGCCAAGTCTTCTTCGATTGCCTCTGCTGGAATGTTGTCCTGTCCCGCTGCTTTATCTCTCTTGATTTGTCTGATGGCCATAATGATCCCTTTAAATATTGGTTTGTCAAAATTGACTGGGTAGTACGTGGATGCTGCTTCGATATTGGGTGGGTTCAATGGAGGTGGTCCATTCAAGAGTTCCTTGAAAAGTTCTATCCACCTGCTTCACTGTTCTTCAGTTTTGATGATTACTCTGCCTTCTTTGCTTTCCCCCGATCGTTCTGGTTTACGATCGTTTACAGCAAGCTCCTTTGTTGTATCGTACAATTTTCTCATGTTTCCTTCTCTTGCAGCCTTTTCGGCCTTCATCGCAAAATCTTCCTCATATTTAAATTTGTTGGCTCTGACTCTCTTCTTCACTTGCTTGTTTGCTTCTATGTGCTCAGCATGTGCCTCGGTTTTTTCTGCTCTTGTTCGTCTGATGTTGACTGCTGCCTTCTTGTTCCTCAATTCTTGAATCTTATCCAGAGTATCAACAGAAATCCATTCCTATTGATGGTGCAGTTAGTGACCCAGAACCTCCTGATATGTTGAAGTCGTTGCCTAATCCATCACTTTCCAATTGTTCTCCGTGGTAATTTACTTTCCATTAGTAGATCGTGGAAAGCCTGGAATCCATTGCTGAGGGATATCTTGAATTCATTGAGTTTGTCATTATCCCGAAGAAAGGCCGTAGTAAACTTCTGTGATGTTGTCTGCCCCGTTGTCCAGGGCTTCTTTAGTTTCAGTTTCATTTTGGTGACCAGCAAGTGGTGATCTGAGGCTATGTCAGCTCCTCTCTTGGTTCTCACATCCTCTATAGTCCTTCTTAACATTTTATTGATACAGATATGGTCGATTTGGTTCTTAGTAGTGTGATCTGATGGAATCCATGTAGCTTTGTGTATGCGCTTGTGCGGGAATATTGTGCCACCGATGACCAGTTTGTTGAAGGCACATAGGTTTGCAAATCTCTCACCGTTTTCGTTCCTTTCTCCTAGTCCATGTCGTCCTATGATGTCTTCATATCCAGTGTTGTCCATGACAAACTTGGCATTTAGGTCTCCCACTAAAATCGTCCAATCCCCTGGTGAGCATCTGTCTACGACTGACTTCAGTCTCTCGTAGAAGTGATCTTTGGTGTTTTCAGTGTAATCGTTGGTAGTTGCATAGCATTGGATGACGTTCTTTGTAATGTCATCTTTCTTTGTTTTGAAGGACGCTTGAATGATCATAAGTCCATAAGATTCCCATCCTATCAGTGCCTTTTGTGCTTGTTTGGACAGCTTCAATGCGACTACTTGTGTGTGAGGCATTTTCTTGTTCATGGTCGGAGTATAACAGCAGCTTGCCTGAAGCTTGTCTTGGTTGTTCAACCTGTGTCCAATGCGTTCCACTGATTCCGAACACCTCGAGGTTGTATCTGTAGTGCCTCCACATATATTCCAGTTCTCTCACATCTAACTTGGTTAAGCCCTTTCGATTAATTTATTTAACCAAGCCATTTGTAAAACAGTAACTTATATGTACCACTGGCTTTTATTATTGTGTGGTTTGTATGCGTTGGTATGATTGAACATTGTTTACACTTGCGCGCATATTCATACTTTTCGCTTTAACGTTAATCTCGTAATATTCCCATGAACTCACATGATTTTTATCGCTTGCTTTTGACCTTGTCAATCATTCGTCGCTTTTATTCATATGTGTGCATGCCTATTTCGCTTGTCATATGTCTGTCTTATTTTTATCTGACTATATATTCTTAGTCATGCTCTATCTCTTTGAGTTGGCTCACTAGCCTTCTCCACGTCGCTTCGCTCATTCGCTCGCATTGTAATCCAAAGAGTTGGCTCTTAGCCTTCTCCAATTCGCTTCTCCGCTTCGCTTTGTGGTGTGCCTCGAATAAACGTATTCATCAATACGAGTTCATCTGATTTATAAACCGAGCTTAAGTACACGCAGTTATCGGCACACTACATATCTTTTCATTTCTGAAATAACTTGGAATAGTCTTCCAGTCTTCCACAATGTTCGAACGCTCCATTTACCTAAAAGAATGGTTACTCTGGTTGTCTCGTGACTTCCTAAGGAACTTGGCTCTCATCATGAGACGTCATAACTCTTCTGAACGAAGACTTTCTAACTCCCAGGTGAGAGTTCAAATGGTTCGAATTGATTTTTCTGGACAGCTTTTTTTAAAGCGAATTACTTTTAAACGGGATGGGATAGCCAACCCAATACCCAACCCTTCTCCTTTATCCTGGTTTGGGACCGGCAGTAGCCCCAGAGGGGCTACAGGTGGAGTTATATATATATATATATGTGTTGCCGTCAATGTTTTGTTTGAACATTGTCCTGTCCATATCGTCTGTTTCGCATTTTTTTATTTCCTATCACTTAGGTCAACATTTCAAACTAGTCGAGTATGTTTTATCAGAAGTCTATTGTTTAATAAAATCTCAATGAATGTGAACAATAAATCAGAATATTCATCAAATAACACTAATTCAAATATGACACAAAATTCTGATTATCAGTCGACTAGTCAACAATCACCGACAATGCCACTGGCTGGTTCTTTATCTTCCGAATATTACAATGAACACTTGTCGGTAGCAGACAAGAAAGCATCGGCGTTTTTCACTGAACATATTTTAGGACAAGATGGTGTATTCGTGCTACGTTTAATCGCTTTAAATATTGGTCAATTCATTGCATCGAAAATTGCTTGTCTTATTTGGGATCATTATCGGCTTGTAAATACCACGACAAAGTATGCACATACAATGAAGAGGACTCCAGAAACACTGACGATGGCCACGACGACAACAATATCATCAATAGTAACAACACAAACAGTGAATGCTACCACTAGTAGCAGTAGGCAAGTGTCTAACTTTGTTCAAACTCCACCTATTCCTGAAAGAAAAGATAAAATTAAACACAGCGAAGAGTCAGATCTATCAACATCCACTTTAAATGAATCAGATCATGTTATAAGAAGTAGAACATTGAATGTATCTAGTACAATGGGAAAATATTCACAGTCATCTACATTCAGTTCAAGAAATTCATCCAATAATCCTTATGATCAATGTTCACGTTCCGATAGGAATTCTTCAAATAATTCAGAAATTCGAATTTTAAATCAATAAAGCAATCGTGTTTAGTAACTTTATACTTATATTATATTTTACGCGTATGCACAAAAGAATAACAAAATAATTCCGTACATTTTATCGTCCTGATGTTTGAGTTATAAATTTCCCACATCTGGTGGTTGGATAATCATTTATTTTTTCCTTCATTTGATGTAGATAATATTCTTAAAATTATTCAATTCTCATTTTTATACTGTTACAACTAATTTCCTCAATTAGAAAAAGATTATCGTGTGACGTTTTTGCTTTTTTTATGTAAAACGATTATTTTATGCACTGAAGAATAAATTATTTTGCCTAGCGAACATGAAAGCGTATAACCTGGTGAGAAGAATGGAGTAACATAAAAGAGAGCGATCCAGAGAATAAATTATTTTCTGGTTATTTGATTAGCGAAAATTTACAAACACAAATCTGTACTTTTTTAGATAGCGATCGATACTACTTTTACAGTTGGTATGGGTAGTTGTAGAAACTGTATTATAGGCTGACTTTCGTTCAACAACCGTTCACAATCAAGGAGTATCGAACAGCTACTTCATAATAATACAAGACTTTTCATTAGTGCATATTCATTGTATATTTCACCTGGATTATGAGTTCAGCTATTACCTGGGTCACTGGTAGGTACTGCCAAGGAGTTCTGTGGTAAGATGAAGAAACAGTCTAGCACTCTCTAGTTTTCAGTGGTTGCCTAGCTAAAATGTCCGACTGGAAGGTACAATGATGTCAAAGATTTCCGATGAGATCTTGTTGTGTTTTTAACCGTTGACCAATGACAATTGATAAGAAGCAAAACATCAGTCAAAACTTCGTTTCAATACCATTATTTTTTAAGTCAACTCTATCTCCTTATTGGTTCACTATTCTGTAGCTTCTTTTTCTTTAATCTGCCTCTATAGTCCACAAGTCCACAACCAGCCGCCACTATAATCATCTATATTATAGACATACATAATCTATACAAAAGTATGCCAGACCATCTCTCGTACACACTAATCTCCATAACTCAAATTGAAAAAATTAGTTAACAAGTGAGTCAGAAGCAGAAGATATTTGTAGATACCATTTCCCTAATCTTCCTTAGATGGTAGGTTTTAAATATATCACAATCAATACTTATTAAATATGATAAAAGCGCAATTAGGTTAAAAAAAAGATTTGTTTTTCTTACTAATGATGGATTGAAAATGAGATTTTCATAAATTATACATAAATAGAAATTAAATTTAAAAAATTATTATTATTATAAGAATGGATTGAACATTGGAGTGAGATTTGTTTATACAAGCATTCATTCAGCTTGCTATTTTTCAGTGAACTTATAAAATATTCTATGAAAACTTTCAATGATGCACTGATCGATGTTAATAATTTACTTCATATCATACGATAAAAATCGATACAACCTCTTATTCACTATTATCAATAAGTCTTGTTAATGTTCTGTGATAGAATGTTTCTTTTTCGTAAGTTGTATTTATATTCCATTTAAATAACTGGCAAGTCAGTTAATAGTTCAGTTTAAACATCTTATTTCGCCCAGTGCACTGTAGTAATTGATTGCTGATCAACTTCATAATAAGACACAAACTTCTATTGTAAGTAACCATGACTATCTTAAGCGGTGCTTCGCATACTTGTTTTTATGATTAAAACCTGTCTAAAGACAAATCATACACGCTCTTTCATACGTCATATCCCAACAACCAAAGTTACAGTTGAACGACTTACCAAACTGTTGTACAAATCTTTTATTAACTTTTCCTCAAAGAATATATTTTTCTAGTTCTCGACGAAAAGTGACGATTTGATGACTAGCATCGTATTCACCTGGATAAATAGGAAATGTCAGTGATGTGACATTCTTGGTTTGTTTCATTATAAGAAAGCAATGTTATTTATAGACAATAGGATACAAGCACTCAAATCTTATTTAAAAAGAATGGACTGTTTTTTAACATTTTAACATTTTGTCAAAACAAAAATTGATTTCTGATAACCTAGTACACATACCCATACAAATAATATAAAATGAAAAGAAACATTCAGAATTTGATACAGTTAATTAATCTTATTGTTTTTGTCTTGTAAAAAAGAATTCTTCTTACTTCTGTTTCTCTTATGATACCGTTAATGTAATGCATGATACGTGTTTAATATGAATGTATCGTTTGAAAAAGTCAGTTAAACATAGTATATGGAAAAATAACTACAGGAAATCGAATGGTATTTCAATTTTATACTACCATTGGTCAAACCATTCCATAAATGACATTTCATAATTTTTTAAATCACATCATGACCTTCTTAAACATCTATCCATTCTAACATACTTTTGTAGGTTACATATGTAGTGTGTGTACTTAAATTAAAGTAAAATTTCCTACAAGGGATCTTCTTAGTCTTTGTACTTTTACGTCATGCCCATAGGCCTTGTCCCAAGCTTTCAGACAATTTCATCAACTCACTGTTCTCGAATCATTATTCTATTGCCTTTTGACCATGAGATGGAGGAGAATATTTGTAGCTCACGTGGATGGTTGTGGTGGTGTTTCGTTCTCTGAGCTAGATGTTTTGGTTGTGAAGCTTTCATTATTCTTCTGAACAACATCATCAGCACAAACTTCAGATAGAAGTGAAGTTTTCGAATTTCTCCATGTTTGACTCGAGATTATTTCAGCCAATAGTTAGGGCAGACAAATATAAGGATACGGAGCGTTACAGCAAAGCGAAACGAAATAGAGGAAACGACTGGGCCAAATTCATATCATGAGGCATGACGAAGCATTGATTGTCAGACAAAATAAGCTAGACATGTAATGAATGAAGTAAGCGATGCATTGCATACTCGAATACAAACAAACAAGATACTAGCGAATGATTTACTAGGTCAAACTGTTGTGGGGGTGTTTCGTTCTCTGAGCTAGATGTTTTGGTTGTGAAGCTTTCATTGTTCTTCTGAACAACATCATCAGCACAAACTTCAGATAGAAGTGAAGTTTTCGAATTTCTCCACGTTTGACTCGTAGCTTGTTCTGTTAACCTCGGTCTTGATTGGTTGTTGTTGACCTTTGTTTTGATTGTATTCCCCTTTCGATCTGTTTCTTGATCCCATGTCGCCTATGATTTTTCTGATTGGTTGATAAATTTGGCCCAGTCGTTTCCTCTATTTCGTTTCGCTTTGCTGTAACGCTCCGTATCCTTATATTTGTCTGCCCTAACTATTGGCTGAAATAATCTCGTCCAATCGAATCTATACTTGGACTCGTATTACTGCCGTCGCACAATAGGGGTTCGTCCAAGTATGATATACACAAGGGGTAATTTATTTCATATCATAACGGAGTCAGTTCATGAGCCACTAAATATCATGATCCGATTGTCTAACTGTTGAAAAATGAATAATATTGAATTTTTTGCTCTCTACGGACTTTACCCTGATCCCGCAGACTTCATAGAATTATAGTTAGTTGAATGATTGAGCATCCGGTTTTTTCACATGAACATTGAAAGTTTTAGCATTAAAATCACTGGTAAAAATTTGACTGAAATTTGTTGTCTATCAATCTATATGGTCTATATGGTCTATATAGCCACGTCCAGGTCTGAAACCAGCCTGGCAGACTAGAGAAAACCAAGCTGGTTTCAGACCTGGACGTGGATGTAAAGACCACATCTTCACTCTACCACAGACATACATTTAGGCGTTCGACAATGGTCGTCTTCCTGGACCTTAAGGCGGCATTCGACTCTGTGGATCGTGAGGTCCTGTGGCAATGTCTGTCATTTAAAGGTGTACCAGGGAAGTACATTAACTTTATACAAGCTCTACTCGAACACTACCGGTCGGGTAAGAGCTTATGGTGAACTTTCATCAAAATTCTTTACTTCAGGTGGTGTCCGTCAGGGATGTACACTCTCCACATTCCTGTTCACTTTTGTCATATAGATGCTCCTAGATATAACCTTATACTCGTCTCAATTTTCAGGCTTAGACTTTCTGCCAGGAAAATCGCTTGCTGACTTAGAATATGCCGATGACATAGTCCTACTTGGTGAAGATGCTGACGAAATGCAGAGTCTTCTGACCAGGTTGAGCAACAATGCAAGCATGTTCGGGATGAGGTTTTCCCCATCGAAATGCAAAATGTTGCTTCAAGATTCGGTTTCATCGACACCTGAACTAGTGATAGGGAGTGAAGTAGTCGAACATGTGAACAGCTTCACTTATCTTGGAAGTCTCATCAGTGCTGATGGCCTGATGACTGATGAAATCTCAGCACGGATACAGAAGGCTCGATTGGCTTTTGCCAACCTGAATCATTTATGGTGTATGCGGGATATCTGTTTGCTGACTAAAGGACGAGTGTGCTGTGCAGTAGTTCGCTCCGTCCTACTTTATGGCTGTGAAATATGGCCAGTGAGAGTAGAAGATATTCGTAGGTAACTCATTTTCGATCATAGGTGTCTTCGAAGCAATGCTCGTATATCCTGGGACAACTGAGTAAGCAACGCTGTTATTAGGAAACGGGTGTTAGATGAGAATGACAGATCAGTAGATGAAATATTGAAACTTCATCAGTTGAGTTGGTTGGGACATGTGCTGCGTATGTCTAACCATAGACTTCCTGGACGCGCTTTGTTTTGTAGTGTAGGAGTAGGTTGGAAGAAAGTTAGGGGCGGCGAGACCAAAACATGGCAGCAATCCATGAGGTCATTGACAAGTGGGCTGAGTCATGTGCCAACTACTTGGTTGGGGTCCGCAAGACGATAGTAACTGATGGTTAGAGACCTTGAACGACTTGGCTCAAAACCGTTTGCAATGACGCCGGCGCATTTATTCTTTATGTTCTCTCAAATCCTAAGCTTTTTAGTTCTTCATCAATTTATCTTTATCTTTTTAAAACTCTACTGCCTAGAATTTGAATCGAAAACAACGTACTTAAACCCATAACTGTTGTTAAATACATTTGAAAAATTTGAAACATCGATTTAGATTTGTTTCAATGAACTGAGTTTTGGTTACACTTTAAGTTCGAGTCGAATAAGTGATTCAGTAACCTATCTATGCCTGTGTTGTTAGATCTTGTATCAACTTCATAATGTTACGTAGAACGTAAGTTCAGTACTTTAGTTTGGAATTGGTATGATCAATAAATATTCAACCACCCTTTGCAAGTTATAGTTATCTCATAGTAAGACGTAATCATCAGACTATGCAGCACTAATCTGAAAATCCCATGCAAATTGATGATTAGGTGATACT